GTTCTTTCAAGGATTGATGTATTTATGAAATGTCCATTTATATGGACCCTACTAAGTAAGGGGTTTCACACTACAAGTGTCCTTCGCATACCATATGTTTGGGCAGCTTCACAATTCAGCACTGTTGAAGTCTTCAGCTGCTTCTACACCTGAAAATCCCGAGGATGTTTCCTCGGAGAAAACACTCCAATGCTCAAGTCAGCAATACTCTATATTCTAGAGAGAGATGCTCTCAAGGAGTGATTGCAGAGAGAGAAGCATAGAGATTAATTACCTTCATCGGAGGTAGTTGGGGGGTATTTATAGTCCCTTGGTGCTGACGCATATCTGCACGTGCAAGCATCCCCTTGGCCCACGTGGCGCTGGTCACGTGGGTATGCTTGTACTGATGCTCCTTCAGCTTTGGCTAATTGGTGGTAACCTAGGCCCGTTATGCATAGCCCTGTTTGGGTGTTGGGCCTGCTTGGGTGTTGGGCCTATTCCAACATTACTCCCCCCCCGGTGTTCGGTTGACGAACTAGGATGCATGTGACCGTAGGTCAACGTCCTAGCTGGCGACTATGACGGACAACTTTCACAACTTACGGCCGACCTTGTCGATGGCCGAGCTGAAAGGTAGTACGAAAAGGGGGGAGCTCGCGAACCTGAGAGCATGGAGGCGAGCTGAGATCCTTAGCCGAACTAGTGTGGGCTGGTTATGGTGGTGAGCTGAGATGGTTCACCATAGATGAGCTCGCATAGGGAGTGGCCATGTACATAACGCTATTTCCAGCGAGCTCGTCCGTGTTAACGTGACCACCGGAGGGCGTGTGGCGACCTGACCCCTGATTATTTACGGAGTGCGGCCAGACGATGCCCTTTTGTCATGATAGCGAGCTGAAATTTTGGAGGCAACACGGGCAGTGCTGTTAAATAGGGCGATCTCAGGTACACCTTGGTCTGTGACGAGCTGAATCTTAGGAGATTTTAGTAAACGATCTACAATTGTAAACGAATTGTCACGGGTAGGCCGACCTGGTAAGTGTGCTCGCAACGGCGAGCTGATGTGACAGGATAGGCTACATATCAGCCGTTACGATCTGAATCTTGTGGATTTTGAAAATCCACCAAATCTCTAAGGGATACGGTTGATCTCCCCGTATCCCTCTATCTTCCTCGTCATAAATGCTGGCTCAGCATTTGAGGGATGTGACAGCTAAAGCCGGCGCACGTTATGCAGAAGGGACGTTAGGCGTGTGCCACGTGTAGGACGCGAATTGGCGCGTCAGAGACACGCGCACAGCCATTAAGACTGGCATATCTCCCTTGCGTAACCGTTTCTTTTTCCATTTTCACTTTTGAGTTTACTTGAAATCTTCTGAAACTCTCTGAAGCGAGGCAACTCCGATCTTGAAGAACAGAACATCGAACCAGCTTCACGTCATTTTCAGGTAAAATGGTTTCATTGAGAGAACTTACAGAGCAACGAGGTAACCAGGGCAGAGAGGGAGAAGAGGAAGGGGTTTTGTCAGTGGAGCCTATCACGATGATAGTGCCGCCTGAGTTGCAGGACTCGCCGGAATCGATGGCGCCTGAGAGAAGCACCAGTTCGAGTGCGAGGGATGATGGTGGCGACCATGCTACTGCGTCGTCTAGCAGCTCGTCTACTAAAAAGACACCCAGCCGTGAAGAAGGGATGGGGGATGTGGTGAGCAGTGTCTCAGATCGGCCGGTGATTGGGGAATGGGAAGGCGTGACAATCCCGAGCAGGTTGAGTAACCTACGAAAAGCACCGAAGGGCCTGCCCGCTGGATTCAGGTTCAAGGCTGCACTTCATCACGAAGTAGCAGATTGTGCGCCCTCTATAAGTGGGTATAAACGACTGGAGGAGATGGTGAGGGCGTACCACATCCCCAAGACCATATTGTTGCGGACTGGCGGGCAGAACGAAAGGGCTTGCACAGTGTCGCAAACGGGCTGGATCCCCGTATATGTGGACCACTTTGACGCCGGCCTGCGGTTTCCCCTGCCCGGATTGGTGTTCGACCTGCTGGCGGATTACGAGCTGGCGTTGACGCAGCTGACGCCCAACAGCATAAGGTTCATTATTGGCTTTATGCTGTTGTGTGAGCGATTAGAGGTACCTGCCAAGGCGATCGTGTTCAAGTCGCTGTTTCAATGCCGGCTGTGTCCTAACTCCCAAGGCGCGAAGTGGTACTACCTCTCCGGGAGAGACAAAAGCCAGTTGTTCAAAACTGTCAGGAACAAAGTGGCGAGGTGGAAGAGGCAATTCATATTTGTTCGCGACACGCGAACAGAGAGGATAAGCAACGACCTCGCTGCCCGGCTGTCAGAATGGCGCACGCCAAACGCCCACATCAACTACCCACAGCTGTTACCCCGGGATGTAGATCTGAAGAACCAGCTGCTTGAGTATGCGAAGAGGGAGGGTCTGATAGATCTAGAAGCCCTGGTTACCTTGGAGCAGCTCACCGTGTTCGGGTTTGTCGACGTGGCAAACCTGTTCACAGAAGGTATACTTTTATTAAATGGTACTAATTCTAGCCGGGCTGAGTCTTATGCGTTTTTTTGTGCAGGAGAGATGAGCAGCATCTTGGAACGCCAACGTCAGCGAGCCCAGAGCTCACGAGGTCGCAGGGCGAGCAGTGGGCAACCCAAGCAAATGCGGTTCGACGAGCGGCCACCCCCAGCGCCTCAATCACGCGGCTCGTCACACCGGGGATCCAGCTCGATGTCGCGACCACGAGTAGATCAGAGAGCTGAGGTTGCAGCTCCGAATGCACGTAGGCGTGCACGGGAGGGGATCGAGAGCGAGGAAGATGAGATTCCCCTTACTCGACGCAGAACAAGCGGGGGGACTCAGCCCGCACAGGCGGCTCGTCCTGCAACGGTGCGTTCCTCAAACACACCATCAGCGACCGCGCGGGCAACGACAGAGCCTGCCTTTGCATCAGCTTCGATGGCGGGCCCCAGGATTGCTTATCCTGAGGGCTTTAGCTATGTGCGGGCGGAGTGCCAGCCCGCCATGGTGCAAGGGATGCACAACTTTGTGCCGCCCATGGATAGTAAGCGCGCAAAGGCCTTTGTACAACAGCATGGCGGGCAGGTCGCCATGATCAAACTAATGGATGTAAGTACTTGCTTGTACTCAAGTGTTTTACGTTTCTTTACTAGGTACTTACTACTGTTGCTACTTGGCAGGCATTCAGCTACGCTGTAGCACTATACAAGAGCGAGCAGGGGGCTCGTACAAAGAACAATGAGCTCGGTTCCAAGTGCAAACAGCTGGCTGCGGAAAAGGCTAGCCTTGTGGACGATGTGAATCGTCTGCAAGGCTCCGAAATGGCGAACCGAGCTGCGGCTGCAGAGAGCCGGGCAGATGAGCTCGCCAACATAAACAACGAGCTCAGGGAGGAACTAGAGCGCGCCCGCGCTGAAAGGGAGAGCGGGATCCAGGCAACCAAGGAGGAAGCCGTCCAGGTTGAAGAACGGGCGAAGAAGGCCGAGGCCGACCGGGACCGCACTCAGCATGACCTGAACTCCTTAAGGAATCAGGTCGCTAAAGCTGTCTGGAACCTGAACGCAGCTGAAGAGGCCTTGAATGAGCTGAAGGCCACTCACGGGCGCTCTATCTCCATGGCGCGCGCTCAGGGCGCAAAATGGCTGGTGGGTTCGGCCGCGTTCCAAGACGCAGTGGCGGTGGCGTCTGCAAATGTAACCACGGAGATCTACAATGAGATTCGTGGGAAGGTGCTGCACCACCACCCAGATTTTCCAATCCGCGAGTTGGTGTTCTTTAACGAGGAGGAGCTTGACGAGCAGGGTAATAGCCTTACTCCCCTCACTGACACAACTGTGAGGTTGAGATGGGATTTGAACGAGGAGGGTGTGCCCGTCTGGCCGCCGTTCGTGCTAGAGGACGGGGAGGATCCAGCAAGGCTGCCCTCGTTTGACGCGTGGGTCGAAGGTGCTCCTGTTGTTGAGCAGGAGCCGTCAAGCACGCCCCCCAACTCTCAGCCCGTTGTGGCGCTAGCCAGCTCGCCCGTCAGCGCACCAGCCCCTGAGCTCGCAGCCCAGTCTCCTCCAGCTCGCTCTCCTGCAGCTGTTGCTAATGCATCCATGCCCGTCGATCTGACGGATGACTAGACTTAGGGTTTTTTCTTTTTGACTTTTGTATTTTTGTTTTGGCATTTTTGTATTTGATCAATAGATTCATATCATATGTACTTCCAATGTAACATCGTTGATGAAATACAAAAATGAATTTTCCTTTGAACTTTTGTTGCATTTCTATATACCTTTGTTTACAACTGTTGGATAACACCTGAAACAGAATCAATATTACACACGTTAACTGTAAAACTTTCTAAGGTTCTGTATGTTCCAAAGGTAAGATAACTGACACTCGTGTATATTTGCTAACACGTAAGAGCCAGGCCGTTTAACTCGAATAACCATATATGGGCCTTCCCAATTAGGGGCGAGCTTGCCCATGTGTGAGTAAGTGTTGGTTAATCCAGCCTTGCGTAGAACCAAATTGCCAACCTGAAATTGGCGGGCTCGAACCCTTTTATTGTAAAATTTTGCAACACGACTTTGATGTGCCATGTTTCTTATTCGGGACACCTCCCTGATTTCTTCCACAAAGTCTAGGTTCTCCCTTAAGAGTTGTTCATTATTCTGATCGTCATGATGATCTGATCTATCGGATGGCAATCCAACCTCCACTGGGATGACGGCTTCAGCTCCATAGGCCAGGCTGAAAGGGGTTTCGCCCGTGGCCGAGCTGGGTGTGGTGCGACAAGACCAAAGCACTTTATTGAGCTCGTCAACCCAATTTGAATGTGCAGCCAAAACACGTGTCTTGAGGCCTCGCAAAACGATTTTATTGGCGGACTCAGCTTGCCCATTGGACTGTGGAGTGTACACAGATGTCAAGGCGAGCTCAATGCCATAATCATTACAAAACGATCTCAACGCCGCCGCTCGGAACTGTGGCCCATTGTCGGCGATAATCCGCTTAGGTATGCCAAACCTGCACAGTATGGAATTGAACAAGAATTCTTCTATTTTCCTTTCTGTTGTCGTGGATAATGGTTTAGCTTCTATCCACTTAGTGAAGTAATCCACTGCAACGACTAGAAAAGTGCAGCCTCCTTTGCCTTTGATGAAGGGGTCGAGCAGGTCGACACCCCATTGAGCAAAAGGCCAGGGAGACGTAAGAGATGATAGCATTTCCCCTGTTTCAAGAAAGGTACTTATGCTCAGTTCATAGACAGTCACTAGGTTAGCATAAGCTGTAGGACGAGCTCGGATACTTGGCATGTGAATATCATCGGCATTGAACTGGCAGGTCGGGCACTTTTTGACATAGTTCTGAGCGTCCTCGACTATAGTGGGCCAGTTATAACCGAGCTAAAGTTCTGCCACCGATGTGCATGCCACATACTCCTTCGTGAACTTCCTTCACAGCGTATTCAGCTTTATAAGGAGTAAAGCAGTGTAATAGGGGCATAGAGGCTACCCGTTTGTAGAGCTAGTTATCTAACAAAGTGAAATGTACCGCCCTGCGTTTAATCAATTTTGCAGCGGACTGATCTTCAGGTAACTCGCCACTTTGCAGATAACTTATGAGCGGGGTGGTCCAGCTCGGTGAACAAGGGTCTGTGCTGAGTAGTTGACACTCGAGTGTGAAATCAGTATAGCTCGGAGTATCAAGTACCTCGACTGTTGTTGACCTATGAGGGTTGGTCTCTTGCGAGGAGGCTAACTTAGACAGCTCATCAGCTCGCTGGTTGTCCGCCCTGTGTATTTTGTCGATCTGAAAAGAAGCAAATCTTGACTTTAATCTGTTAACCACAGAGGCATAACGAGCAAGCTGTGTATCCCTCGTTTCATAGTTGCCTTTCACCTGGCCTACAACGAGCTGAGAGTCGCTAAAAACCTGAATGCTCTGTGCCTTCAGCTCGGTCGCCAACTTCAATTCGTATTTGAGGGCTTCATATTTTGCAGCGTTGTTAGTCGTTTGAAACTTAAATCTCAGTGCATGCTCAGACTTAAAACCATCTGGGCCCACCAGCACAGCCCCTGCACCCGGTCCTTCAACGTTAGCGGCTCCATCAACATACAAGACCCAGACTGGTTGTTCGGGTGCTTTTTCTTCTTCCGTCGCCGAGATGCACTCTACCAGAAAGTTAGCGACGGCTTGGCCTTTTATGGTTGTATGTGGCTGGAATGTGAGGTCATATTCACTCAGCTCGACGCTCCATCCGATAAGCCGACCAAAGAGTTCAGGCTTCTGCAGTATTTTTCTCTCAGTGGCAAATCGTTATAGACAACAATCTGATGCGATTGGAAGTAAGCTCTCAACTTACGAGCTGTGTAAACTAAGGCAAAAGCAGCCTTTTCCGTTAGTGGGTAGTTCTGCTTGGCGCCTTGTAAGACCTTGCTCACATAACAGATAGGCTTCTGGGCCTTATTCTCTTCCCTGAGTAAGACCGAGCTAATCGCCTCTGCAGTAACCCCTAAATACAGATACAAACTCTCCCCTTCCACAGGCTTGGACAGCAGGGGTGCTGACGCTAGGTATCGTTTGAGCTCGTCAAAAGCCCGTTGACACATATCGGTCCATTGAAAGTTCTTGGGCTCTCGCAGGGCCTTGAAGAATGGAAGGCATCTTTCTGCCGACTTGGCTATAAATCTGTGCAGCGCAGCAACACGACCTGTTAAACGCTGCACGTCTTTGACCGTCCTTGGTGGCTCCATTTGCTAAACAGCCTCAACTTTTTTTGGATTTACTTCAATTCCTTTCTTGGATACCACATATCCCAAGAATTTTCCTGACTCTACAGCAAATGTTCATTTCAGGGGATTCAGCTTCATTTGTGCTCGGCGCAAGTTTTGAAAGGTCTCCCTCAGGTCGCCTATGTGGTCTTCAGCTCGTACGCTGGTGACTATCATGTCATCCACATATACTTCTATGTTTTTGCCGATCTGGAGCTTGAAAATGATTTGTACAAGTTTCTGGTATGTTGCATCAGCATTCTTCAGGCCAAACGGCATCATCACATAGCAGTAAATCGCGTCACCAGCGTAAAAGGCCATTTTCTCGTAATCGTCCAACAGCAACTGAACCTGGTGATAACCTGAGCTAGCATCCAGGAAACTCATCCGCTCATGTCCGGCTGCCCGCTCTACTAGCTTCTCAACATTCGGCAAGGGATGAGGGTCTTTTGGGCACGCCTCATTTAAATTAGTGAAATCAATGCACATCCTCCACTTGCCATTTGGCTTTTTAACGAGCACGGGGTTAGATACCCACTCAGAGTACTCCACTCTTCTGATGAAACCTGCCTGTAGCAGCTTTTGTATCTCTTCGTCAATTGCAGCTTGTTTCTCGGGCCAAAAAGGCGACGTTTTTGCACCACTGGCCTTTTAGTGGGGTCCGTGCTTAGCTTGTGGACTGTCAACTCTGCGGGGATGCCCGGCATTTCGTCCGTAGTCCATGCAAACACGTCTTGATTGTCCCTCAAAAACTCCAGGAGCTCTGCCCGTTCCTCCTCTGTGAGTTTGGTGCCAATCTTGACCGTTCTCTCTTGCACAGCTGGGTTCAGAGGGACCGTTTCTACCAGCTCCACTGGTTCTGCTTTCTGCTCGACACCTTCAGGTCGGTGTTCAATGTCTGAAATGCTCATTGTTTGCTGAGCGAGCTGGGTTGGCTTGCGACCTTCAGCACATGCTAGGGCTGCGGCGAGCTCGACCTTCTTGAATGTGTCTTGATAACAGGCTCTAGCCATCTTTTGATTCCCCTTCAGCACTCCTACCCCCTGAGGAGTTGGGAATTTCATGCAGAGATGGGGTTGCGAGATGACAGCCTTCAGCTCGCACAGGGTGGCTCTTCCTAATATAGCATTGAAAGCTGATTCCATCTTAACGACCAGGAAGGTGACGGAAGCCATCCTAAAGCGTGGTTCAGAGCCCACATATATAGGAAGAGTGATAACTCCCTCGACCGGGACGGGCTGGTTATCAAACCCGTATATTGGCCCTTCGTGCTTTTGCAGCGAGCTCAGATTTAGCTGCATCTTCTGGAAGCAACCCCAATACAGGATATTTGGCGAACTACCAGTGTCAATAAACACCTTATTGACATTATGATTGCCTATATGAACTGCTGCCACAAAGGGATCAGCATGAGGCATAATAATGTCAGGCTCTGCTTCTGCTCGCTTGTAATCTGCCGGGCTGAATGTGACAGGTGTATTCTCCCATTCTGCTTCCTCAAATGGCCGCTTCAAGGGTCTATTTTTGTTGACTGTCATCACCTGTCGGGCGTATGCCTTGCGAGCTCGAGCGCTTTGGCCCCCAGAGTGAACACCACCTGATATCATGTTTATGGTTCCAGAGGGTGGGGGTATCCCCGCGTAACCCACCCCTTTCCTGTCTTTTTGATTCGGGGCGGTAGTTCTCGGTCCCTGTCCTCGCTTGTTGAACGGACGTCCTCGGTATGCTCTGCCCTGCTCAGAAGGATACTGGTTATCTTGATATACATCCTGCGTCCCTCCGTGCTGATACCTCTGCCCTTGAGGTCGGTCGTATGCCTGCACGAAATGGGTTTGAGTGGGTTGCTGGGTGTGAGGCTTCTGAACATACCCTTCTAACTTCCCGTTACGAGCTAAAAACTCCAACTCATCCTTCAAGTGTTGGCAATCCTCTATATTGTGACCATATACACGGTGGTAGTCGTAGTGCTTGCTCTTGTCTGCCCTCGGGGAATCATGCAATGGGGGTGGGGGTCTCCTAACCCAATGCTGGATTTGTGCCAAGATTTGAGACCTGGGTAAGGTCAAAGGAATGTAATTGGCATATTTCGGGAACTCCGCTGGTTTCCCCCATTGCTCGCTGGCCTTCTGCTTCTTCTTCTCTTCTCTTCTCGGTTGTTGTTCCTGGCTTTTGCTCAGCTTATCATCAGCTCGTCGCTTGGACGACTGAAAGTCCTCTGACAGTATGAAGCTGGCCGACCTGTCATTCACCTCGTTCCACGTCTTTGGTGGGTTTTCAAGCAGGTCGTCTAGGAACGGCCACGTTTCAACCCATGCAACAGGGCGGACAGGCAGATCGTATCTGGGACATTATCAATGTCCAAGGTGGCTTTGTTGAACCGCTGCATGTAATCCCTCAAGGACTCCCCTTCTTTCTGGTTGACTTGCATCAGCTCGGTTGCTGTGCGCTTGCTCTCCCTTTGGCTCGCAAATTTGTTAGAAAATAACTTAGCGAGCTGGGAAAATGAATCTATTGAATGTCTGGGGAGTTTGTGATACCATCTCCTGGCTGTTGACTTGAGTGTTGCTGGGAACACCTTGCACATCATGGCATCATTAGCGTTTTGGATTCTCATGATGGCTTGATAGGTGTGCAGATGTTCATCAGGGTCACCCGAGCCATCATATGTCTCCAGGTGGGGAATTTTGAACCCCTCTTGATATGGCTCTGCCGTAATGGATAAGTTCAGTGGTGCACTATCCAAATCCAGAGTCTGTTGGTGCGACCTGGGACTTTTTAGCTCGTCAATAGACTTTTGCACTTCCCGCAGTTGTCTTTCAAGGTCTGCGTTTTTTCTCATAAGCTCTTCACTATGTTTGGACGAGCTGGGCTCGATATTCAGCTTTCCGCTTCCCCTTGGCCTGGTCGGCACTACTATGTTGCTGAGAGCGGGGGAGTTTCGGGTTGCAACAACCACAGCCGGTTGTGCCTCTCTGTTCAGCAAAGGAATCAAGGGGTCATCAGGAATTAAACGGGCAAGTATTTTACCCATTGCCATTTCGAGAACTCTGGTTCTTTCTTCGAGCTTGGTTGTCCGAGCAGGCTCTGTCGACCTTTCAGGTCGCTCATGCTGTGAATTGTATGGTCTAGCAGATCTTTGTCTTGTTCCTGTTGGAACTTGGAACTGTTCAGGCTGGGTTGCATACCCAGTTGGTGTTCTTTCATCATCTGTCTCACTCAAGTGATCCTGTTCGGCTCCTCCTACAAAAAGATTTCTTGGCATTGACCTAAAGTCATTCAAGCCAGGTCCAGATACATGAGTGTCCTCCTGTTCGTCCATTTCATTTCTTGGAAGGCGACCTCCTGTAAAGGTACGGACCATTTTGTCTTTCAGCAGGTTAAGTCACACAACTTCTTGTTCGAGTTCCCACAGATGGCGCCAAATGTTTGGGCAGCTTCACAATCCAGCACTGTTGAAGTCTTCAGCTGCTTCTACACCTGAAAATCCCGAGGATGTTTCCTCGGGGAAAACACTCCAACGCTCAAGTCAGCAATACTCTATATTCTAGAGAGAGATGCTCTCAAGGAGTAATTGCAGAGAGAGAAGCGTAGAGATTAATTACCTTCATCGGAGGTAGTTGGGGGGTATTTATAGCCCCTTGGTGCTAACGCACATCTGCACGTGCAAGCATCCCCTTGGCCCACGTGGCACTGGTCACGTGGGTATGCTTGTACTGATGCTCCTTCAGCTTGGGCTAATTGGTGGTAACCTAGGCCCGTTATGCACAGCCCTGTTTGGGTGTTGGGCCTGCTTGGGTGTTGGGCCTGCTTGGGTGTTGGGCCTATTCCAACACCATACCTTCCAATTTTGTTTAGTCATCACAGTATATAGTGCAGTTGTAGCAAACTGTAAC